TCTTTCTCTTATGTGGTGTACCAGAGGCAGAGACCAGAAAGGCAGAGACAGGACCCATCCCAGGTATCCATCTAATCTAGTCTTTCATTTTAGAAAAATCAGAGGAAACATGATATAGTCAACTCTTTGCAACTAAGTCATGAGCCAAATATTAACATGAGCTCTAAATATGCAAAGCAAACCAGCCCTTGCATATTAGATACATAAGCATTCAGGATTAACATGGCAAGACATGGAAGTCACAAGCAGAATACTGTGGTAAAGAAAGACAGCAATAAAAACACACCAGCTCTGACATCTTCAGCAAAACATAAAACCAGCCATGTGTACTGCATGTGACACTAAGGCAGAAGGACAACAGGGTATTTAAAGCTGGGTAATGAAGTGTTATCCCTTCTAAATTAGGGACTCAGCTATCAAGAACCGCCCCTTATTCCCTCAGGTTTCTAGAGAGCTGAGAATATAATTAGCGATAAGTCTAGTTATAAACGCTTACAAATCACGTTTCTTTATTCTTATTCTCATGTTAAGTTTAAGTATTTCAAATAAAGCACTTCCCTGTCCTACTTGCAAAGACTCCACAAGCTCTGCTGCCGGTGAACACCGTCTAATTTGGCTCCAAATAATTCACTTTATTTTTCATGCTGGTAATAGAGTTAACGACTTGAGCTAACTTTTTACCAAGGCATTTAATGCTTCCAAGAGTCTGCACAGTTGTGTGTTAAACTCTGTATGCAGAGTTTGTGTAAGTAATGTCAGTCCCTTTAAAAAGGACTATGTGAACTAGGAAGGAGATTAAATCATAAACAGCTAGAGAAGCCCTTCAGTCAGGGAGGACAAACAGCATGACTAACTTGGTGTTAAAAAAAAATTCACCATTCATCTGACTGTCAAACACCTGCTGATCAACTTACTGAGGTCAACCACAAGGGGCCAAATCAGGGCTAGTTTTGATACTGATGTCTTTGCTTCTGTCCGAAGTAACAGATTCAGATTACATTGCATCATGTGGCACTGCGATGTGAATTTAAGTTACTGTAGAATGACAGGGCCTGCTGACTGGTGGTCTCGTCTGGGAAGCTCCTTTTTCTCTAGTGTCTCCCTCCAGAATCACCATGGCGGAGCTGCATATAGGAACGAGGTGAGCCTCCTATGAGCTGGGTTTATAATTCACTTCAGCTGCGCGCAGTCTAGCATTCTGAACTAGAGTTTCAGGAAAGCCCAGAGGTGGGTGTGTAGTTGAGTGAGAGAATACTGGCAGGGCAGTCTCTCGTGGGTCAATATAGCCAGGGGGAGACCTATATTAATTCTAGCTAAATTATAAGCTTGCTTGGTTCAGAGTACACTGAAGTCTATATACCAAACTAAACTATATTACTGGTGCAGTTAATCAGAAATCAAGCAGTAACAGGAGGCCTAAGGTGAAGACCATTTGAGAGCACAGTAACACCGGGGAACACCTTGGGGTGGCTGCAGAGCAGGCAATACTGCTCTGGTCCCATGAATGCCTTCTCAACATGGAGACTGCATGAGAGTCTCATAAAGAGGGCTTATGCAAAGATCTCTGAGAAGGGAGGCAACATCTACTCACAAGATCTGGGAGCTGCAGATGGGAGCTGGCAAGGAGGAGAAAAGCACTGCAGGGTGGAGATCACTGAACGCCCCAGGCTCTGCTTAGGTTCTGGGAATATAAGGTGATTTTAATTGCTCTATGTCCTCAATGCTAGGGAGATAAAAGCCCCCTGATGCATAGGGTGTAGTCAGACTGGGTGGCTCCTCACAGGCTATACTTTGGATGTAGATGCACCCTGGTAATGATCGGTGATGAACTCAGAGTACTAGTTTAGCATGTCTCAGAAGAATCTCAAGTGCTGTTAAATGCTCAGAGCAATCGTTTAGCATGTCTTAGAAGAATCACAAGTGCTCCCCCCACTTACCTACCCCTTCACCCTCCCCTTCCATGCCCATAAATTCAATGAGATTATGCACATAATAAAAGTGTTTGGAGCCCAGAGCTGGGGCCAAGGCATTTCCCACTGTTGCACTGATCCCCTGGACCCATGCCATAAATTCTACTCTTATGTCTGTCTTTATTTCCTCAATCCCTCCTCACCACAGGGACTAAGGACACCCACATAGGGGTTGGGGCTGGTACCCAACATCTCTGAAGTACTGAAGTGATCTGAACTGCTTAGTGGCTGGCACATTATCTTGTGGTATAAAGCCCCTGCCAACTGTTAACACCTGAATTGTCTGCAATAGTGTAATCTGGAGGTGGCAACCAAAATAAAAGAACACAGGACTGTAAAGTTGCATATACCTAAGGCAGGAACTTCTGCAGAGACTGAACTTAAACAACCAGTCCCTGAAGAAACAGCCGAGTTTCACCCAGATCCCAACACTGCTACTTTAAATTCTATTTCACAAAAGAATCTAGGCAGTCTTTCATTAGCAGGAACTCTAACAGGAATGGCAAGGCCTTTCTTTTGGGGAAAAAAGTGGGGCACTGAGATTCATGAGGCAGAAAGCACACCTGAGCACTCACACATCTCACTTGTTCTCAACAGCCACCCTGTGAAATAAGCAAGGCATATGCTCCTTCTGCCATGTATAGTTAAGGAGTTGCTACTTGCTTCAATTTGAGGCCATTTTGTCTAATTCAATTGCACACTTCTAAATTTAAAAAAAAGGCTGCTGAAATCTTACCATACTATTGAACAAAGAAGTTTCTGTTAAAAACCAAGGATTACCTGGTGGTGTTTAGCGTTCTTTTCATAACCATCACTCCCAACCAAAATTCTTCAAAGCACAGAACAGTAAAACCCACCGAGTAACGGCTCTCACCTGGTTGGACTCACTAATGCAGTGAAGATCTGCAGAAAATCCATGTGCCACAGCTTGCTCACATATTTCTTCTGCTATGGCCTTTGCCTGTCCCTGCTGTGTAGCATATAATAACAGAAACCTCCTCATAACTCCAAGACATGTAACAGTGAAGCTGAAAAACGGGGGAAAAAGAGAGATGGTCTCTTTCATGAAGTAGTAACACACACATGTGAGTATGAAACAGTCTTTTCTAAATTTGTTTTTAGCACGAATCTTACATGAGCCTAAATAAGAATTCATCAAATTAAGGAGAGTATAGGAATGAAACTCTAATTCCATGGCTCGAAATCGGAATTACTTGGGCTTGAATCTGGTTAGTTAAGTGCAACCCATTAAGGCAAGCTCCCCAGATGATCTTTAACACAGCCCCTTTACCCCAAAAATGGGACTATTACCATCTACCTGAAAAAGGATGCAACAGAGGCCAAGAACCTGAAAAAAGCTTAGGCCACAGTATCGCTCACCAGTCTTAAATATCTGTTGCCTCTTTTTTTAAAAAAAAAGTAAAGATTATATTCAAATGATAGGATTCTTGGTTCCTATTTGATCCTAACATTAAACTAATCAACGTACTAAAAGTAACAACGTATTTTCCTTTGTTACTTAATGCAAATCGAAAACATGTGAGTGGATGGGCATATAAATGCGACTTGGTAAAAGTCCCATAAAACTGCATCCCTCAGCCATACCTCGGCTTTCCACTGAAACTGCTCTCTGTAACCCTGATGTGACAGGCAAGCAGTCCAAACCCACGCCATCTTGGCCCCTGCGGCTTGTAATAAGTAACTAAGGTTTGTAATTTCCACCCTTCCCAGGCAATGTGTAAACTAACACTTATCTTGACTTCTGTGAACCACTTAAGTAACAATCGGAATGTCCTAAGTCCCCTGGCCCTCGGAATGTCCGGAGCCCCTCACCCTCATCTTCACCCAGGAGGTGATCGACAGAATCACTCACCCCCACCCCCGCCCCCGCCCCTCACCCTCACCCCCCGAGGTGGTTTACGCGTATAAAAGGTCTTGACACCCGCCCTTCGGGGCCACTGGTTGGAGAGACAGGAGTCCTCTGTGGCCGCCAGCAATAAAGACCCTGCAATTTGGCATACTTTTGTGTTGGTGTTGACTTTCTATGCTCTCTCCAGTACAATATACACATGCAAGCGCACATAAAGAATATTTCCAATCCACTTAAACATTTTACTAACACACGTTTTTCCTGAAGAGATTAACAGTAGTAAAACACAGATTTTTTTTTTTTCCATACTCATCTAACGGCTAAAACTGGAAGACTGTCAATTTGTAGAGACAGATTTAAACTGTAAACCAAACCAAAATCTTGGTTTTTGGTGAATGAACCGCCCAGAACAGCACCGGACATAAAACAGATACTCGATAAGTTATCGGAATGAGTGAATAAACAATATAAAAACATCACACGTTTACAGCTTACAGAAAATGGTGGAAACGATAATGAAAACCTTATTACAGCTAAAATTTCTATCACTTCCCATGAAACACACACATCCTGAGGGCTTCCCAGGATCAATCAACCCCTCACCCCTGCTACTGGCCCACAGCCTGGAACCACCTTCCCACGACTCTCAGCGGAGGCCGGGGCCCCAGCAGGCCCAGGGGCGGAGCAAAGGCAGTAGGCAGAGCTCACAGCCGCGTCCCGCAGGGTGGGCGCCCGGAACGTCCCCGGTGCATGCCCCTTCCCGGCGCACCCCCCCCGTTCCTCGCGTCTCCGAGTGCGGTTTCCCTAGGCCTGTAAAGCCCCTAGAACAAAGGCAGAACAGGCGGAGGGCCCCACACCCCCCAGGACCTCCCCGAGCAAAGGCCGCGCGGGGGCCAGGCACGCGCTCCCGGGGGCACCAAGGCCAACGCCAAGCCCGAGACTGTGGCGACCCCCAGAACCCGTAGGAACCACGGGCGCAAGCTCCCCACCCCGGTCCGCCTCTCCCTCGGCAGTAGTGCAGGGCTGGCGGGCGGCCGGAATCCGGGAACCTCAGCTACCAAAGCGCTCACCTGCGCCCCGCCAGCCTAGCACTAACCAGCACAGCACGACTTCCACCAACCTTGAGCCAGAGCACCCGGACGTAGCGCCCTGCTCGGTACCTAGGACCAATGGGAAGTTCCGCAGGGGACCTGGGCCAATCACATTGCTCTGCCGTGAGCCGTGAGCCGTGGTTCCGCCCCGCCCCGCGTTTGCTACGGAGGCCCATGAGGCCCTGGCGCCTCTGCGGCCACCTGGAGTGATTGGCGGGCAGTGCGGGGTAGGTGTCTACGCGGGCTCTCGGCGCGGTTGGCCAGGCTGGGTGTCACAGACCCCGCCAGCTTTCCCTCAGGCTGCGCCGCCCGGCCGGTGCCTCAGCGCAGGTCCCCGGGGCGCTGGGTTTGGGTGTGCTTGGCCCGCGAATCCCTTTCAATTCTAGGAGGACGCGCCTCGGGGCTCCCCACCTGTCTGTCCTGCACGCTCGTGTTCCCAAATACCCCCGCGGCGTCTTTAGGTCTGGACTGGCCGCCCCACCTTCTCCCTTCACAGATCTACGCTTTGCGTTTTCTTTTCCTACCTTTTTTCGATTCCCTGAGTAAACCGTTTCCTTCAACCCTAACCGTCTCCAATCACCGAGGGAAACTGACAACTCAGGGCCTTTCCGGCGCGTTTGTTTTGAGACACAGTCTCTCTCTGTCACCCAGGCTGGAGTGCGGCGGCGCAGTCTCCGCCTCCCGGGTTCAAGCGATTCTCCTGCTTCAGCCTCCCGAGTAGCTGGGACTACAGCGATGCCACCACATCCAGCTGATTTTTTATTTTTAGTAGAGACGCGGTTTCACCATGTTGGCCAGTCCACGGGTTTTTACCCTTGCCCTGCCCTAACCTCTCCTCATTTTGCCTACTCTACCTGTTCTTGGTTTGTTTGATTTTTATCGAAATGCAATTCCTTCCTTCAACCAACGTTTAAGAGCCACGCTTAAGCGCTGCACTGCCTGAGTTTGAACCCTAGCTCTGCCACTTAACCACCTGCATAAACTGGGCAAAGTGACTTTGTGCTTCAACTTCTTCCTTGTGTAAAAAGACGGTAAAGGTACTTAATCTGTGCAGGTTAATAGAATACCTACAACCGTGCTTAGCAAGTGGTAGTGATTGTTATTGTTAGATGTCAGCCACTTTTCTAACTCTAGGATGCAGAGATCTTGCTCCTCCGGTATTCATGTTATCCATCCTTTTTTATCCGTCCACTTTTTTTGGGGGTACTCGTTTGTAGTTTTTTCATAAACATCGATGTTGGGTCAGTCATGTTTTCAGTATATTTAACCATGTCTTTTTAAATTGTTTAGTTATCAAATTGACAATCTGATGGCATGGCTTTAATCACCTTGAGGAAGAACCTTTATCGTTTATCTGATTTTCGGATGCATGGAACTCTGGCTACTTTAAAAAGTCAACCTCCAACTCATGTTCACAAGGTAGTCAAGGACTGTCCGTGCTCTTGGTTCTGTTCACAACAGCCTGAGCCTTTCAAGGTCAGGTTCCATCATGCCCGTTGTAAAAAGTTTCATTTGGAAAATGGAAATGACCTTCATCCACTCAGGGGGCCAGTATTCTCTCAAGTATCTGACTGGGACAGGCTTGACCAAAACGTTAAAAATCAGGACAGTCAGAGGTTTTACAAGAGATTAAGCAACTTGACTTCATCAGAAGAAGTGTTAAGTTTTATAAGCACGATGGAAACCTTGCCTGACACTGTGGCAGCAGGAGCTTTACAACGAATCTGTGAAGTGGAAAAAAAGGATGGTGATCAAGGGCTGCCAAAAGAAATACTGGAGAATAGCATCTTTCAAGCTTTATGCTTTCAGTTTGAACAGGAACCCTCAGAGCTGTCAAACACTAGTTTGGTGACTGCTTTGCAAGCTCTGATTCTGTTGCATGTGGATCCTCAAAGTAGCCTGTTACTGAACCTGGTGGCAGAATGCCAAAATCGTCTCAAAAAGGGTGGCCTGGAAGTTCACAATCTTTGTATCCTTGGGGAAAGTCTGATTAGACTGTACAGTCCAGGTTGTGAGATACTAGAACTGATTATAAGTCAACTGCAAGGTGAAAAATTGGAAACATTTACCCCAGAGGATATTGTGGCCCTTTATAGAATCTTGCAGGCATGTGCTGAAAAAGTGGATGAACACCAGCCATTTTTAAATAAGATAAACAACTTTTCCCTTTCAATAGTTTCCAATCTGAGTCCTAAACTGATGAGCCAAATGCTCACTGCCCTGGTGGTTCTTGATCAAAGTCAAGCACTTCCTCTGATTATAAAATTGGGCAAATATGTCGTGAGGCATATCCCACATTTCACTCACAAGGAGCTTGGGAGAGTCTTGGAGGCGTTCATATATTTTGGGCACCATGACAGATTTTTGACAAAAGCCCTAGAGCAGCATGTAGCTGCATTCCATCTCACCCTGGATCCTGAAGTTGTCAGCAGAGTCATGGAGTACTGCAGTAGAAAACTGATTCTTTCAAAACGCATCCTCAGTGCAGTCGCAGAAACTTTTGTTTGCCAATCAGAAAAATTTTCACCTAGTCAGATTTCTACATTAATGGAACCATTTGGAAAGCTCAATTATTTGCCACCAAATGCCTCTGCTTTATTTCGAAAGCTGGAAAATGTGCTATTCACTCATTTCAATTATTTTCCACCCAAAGCACTATTGAAACTTCTTCATTCATGTTCACTTATTGAATGCCATCCAGTCAACTTTATGGCAAAAATATTCCACCCTTTTTTCCTTCAACGGCTGCAAGGTGAGTTGGTTATAACTTCTGACAGTTGGAAAAAAATTAACCTTTGTACTGGCGGTGGTTTCAAGTCACTTACAAAGGCAATGCCTTGCCTTTATTTTTTCTTCCATAGTGATAAGATCTTAAGTTAACAGATGCTGGTGTAAACACAGCAAGCTAGGATGTTGCATAGAGGGAGGAAAGCTGTCTCAGATAAAGTGACTTTTGCCTTAGCTGAGAAACTGCAGCATTCTTATGAGATATGGTGAGGTGATGGCAGTGGAACTAGCCACATTAACATGTTAGAACTTTTGATGAATGAGCAACTGGATCTTTTTTTTTGAGAGAGAGAGGGTGGCATTGTTCATCTGAATTCAAGGCCACCCAAGTATTCACATTTCCACTAATTCTCTGAACATTTTTTATCTCTTTTAATTGTATTCCGTAGCTAGGAACTTGGGTTCTTGTAAGTCAGTTTCATCCGTGGCAAGAGGGGGGCATAATTAATTCTAACAAGTTAATTTCATAGTGTCATTTAAAAGTACAATACTTCTGTCTAGCCTGTGTAAGGTGATGTTCAATGTTCATGATGTTCACATACATATTTAAAATTCAGACATAACTATGACTGGGATGCTTTCTGTTTCAGGTGAAGAATCTCATTTGGACAGACTGAGTAGGGCACAACTGACCCAACTTTTTTTAACCTCTATCCTAGAATGCCCTTTCTATAAGGTAAAAGCATGAACTGTGTGTGGCTTTATTTCTTTATGGATGCAGTTTCCTTTTGTCTGCCCTGAAACTTTTCAAGTTCCTTTACTTTTGATCTGTCTCAATAACCTCATGAAAAAGCAGAATTTCATTTACCTGGAGTTAGTTGCCCCCAGATAGGCTTTTCTTTGATAAATTGACCCCATTTTTATGTTCTTGTTCTGGAAGGAACAATTTTCTCTGTGTAAGATTTCTTAGGAGGTTGTATCAGGTGCTGCAGGCATGTGTGTTATAGTATTTCTCCACTCTCTCTGAAGGTTTTATAGGGTTTTAGTACTAGGTTTAGTACTAGCTTTCCCATAGCTGTTTGTTATCAAAGCGTGAATGTCTGGACTCAACAAATACCTAAATTATTTGCAAGTGCGGTACATTTTTAAGCCAAGCTGGAAGTTTCACCTTTATCTAATAGAGTTTAGTTTACCTAGAGTTTGCTCTTCCCATAAAGTACTATAAAGATTCATTCTAATACCGATCACATTCCTTATGTAGCATCAGAAATAGCATACTAGACTATGTCATTCTTTCTCTGCTTCTCTATACTTAATTCTGAATCATAGTGTATCTGATTTTTTAAATAAGGTATAAGAATGGAAAATTACCTCCTTTTTAAACAGCTTAGACAGTCCTAAGTTATATAAAGATAAATAATAATTTACCCCAATCTCTTAACATCGCTAAAGGAACAGTATTAGAAGCAGTTTCTATGCCCAAATGTATACAGGTACATAAACGCTGTCTGTTTTTTCTCTTGTTAAGGAATGAGACTGACTCAAAGTACAGTTTGCTTTTGTGCCCAGTATATCATGGACATTCCTTGAGACCAGTGCACACAGGTCACATGCATTCTTCTTAGAAGCTATGAGATTTCATGGTGTTGATTCCACTGTTGATGCACTGTGAGGTTTTTTGCCAACTTTTGTCTCCATCAGGAATGCTGTGATAAACATTCTCGCAAATCCTGTCATACTGGAGCCTTGTTGTTTTTTTCCATATATAAACAGGATTCCTAAAGATGGGATTACTAGATTGATCTCTGATAGATACTGGCAGGTTTTTTTTCCTTAATAGTTATAGATGTCACATTTCCTCAGCAATGAATGAAGGTGGCCATGTCTCCGCCACTTCTATTACAGTGTGTTAGTCTCTTTCGTCTGTGTTACTCGACTAAATGAAAGAGGGTATTGTACCATATATGTAATTTGCATTTTAATGAGCATTAATGAAATTTAGCATATTTTCAAATATATGTTGGCCATTTACATTTCTTTTGAATTGCCTTTCTACACTTTAATTTATTTCTGTTGGATGATTTGTCTTTTTTTAAGGACTCATTGTAAAACAGATATTAACTATTATGAATGTTGTACTTATTTTCCCCTTATTTGTACTCCTATTACTTTTGAATATTACTTATGATGTATTTTTAAATGTTCTGTAGTCGAATCTGCCTTTTATGACGTCTGAGTTTCCTGTCTCACGAGCATGAATATTTTACAACATTTTTAAAAATGATATATTTAATATTTTATATAGATCTTTGATCTAAAAATTGAATTTAGTTTTACTATTATTTTTATATACATATTTTAATTAACAAATAAAGTTGTATATACTTATTGTGTTCATGTTTTGAAATATGTATACATTGTAGAATGGCTATATCAACCCAATTAACATGTGCATCACCTCCATATCTATCATTTTATTTTGTGGTGAGAATATTTAAAATGTACTCTCGCTGGGCACGGTGGGTCATGCCTGTAATCTCAGCACTTTAGGAGGCCAAGGTCAGGAGTTCCAGACCAGCCTTACCAACATGGCAAAACCTTGTGTCTACTAAAATACAAAATATTAGCTGGGCATAGTGGCACGTGCCTGTAGTCCCAGCTACTCTGGAAGCTGAGGCAGGAGAATCGCTTGAACCTGGAAGGTGGAGGTTGCAGTTTGCTGAAGTCGTGCCATTGCACTCTAACCTGGGTAACAAGAGTGAAATGCCGTCTAAGAAAAAAGAAAAAAAGAAAGTACTCAGCCATTTTCAAGAACTCGATACATTCTTATTAACCGTAGTCAGCATGTTGTACCACCTGGAATTTATTAGTCTGTAATGGATGACAGAATTTTAATTTAGTTCTTTTCCAAATCTGTTTTCTAAATAGATAACCAGTTTTCCAGCACTGTTTATTATATTGCTATCCTTTTCTTCCTAAGTTGGAATGTCACGTTTATCATATTTTTCCACTACAGATTGAGTATCCCTTATCTAAAATCCTTGGAACCAGAAGTGTTTCAGCCTTCAGCTTTTTTCATATTTTAAAATATTCTCATTATATTTACCAGTTCAGCATCCCTAATTCAAAAATTTGAAATCCAGTTTCTTCTTGCTCCCTCCCCATTCCTTTTTACCTTCCTTCTTTACTTTTCTTTCTATTTATGGTAACCAGTGACTACTTTAAAAACGCATATAAAAGATAGTTTGAACTATTAGACTTGAACTGTAACAATAGAAGTTTGTGTTGTCATTTTGAGAGAGATGCCTGTCCCAGTTCCTAAAAGTATCATGCCTGTAAGGTAATGTTATATCAAACTTTTCTACCTAGGTAACCTTCAGTTAATTCTCTGGTTTTATATCTCATTTTCCTTTCTCATCTTTGCACATATGATTTTTAGGGTCCAAAACTCCTTCCTAAGTATCAAGTGAAATCATTTCTTACCCCATGCTGTTCCATGGAAACCCCTATGGATTTTCATCTTTATAACTCTGTGAAGATTGGGCTGATTGACCTTTTAGGAGCAAGATTATATTTTGCTTCAAAAGTGTTGACACCCTATTATTATACAATAGGTAAGTAGTATAAGGAGTTTTGTTGTTTTAAACCTAAGCTTTCTATTTGATTTTGGAGATATATGGGACCTAGAAGCAATAGAAGGTCTCTGGAAATGCAAAATGGAATGGTCCCCTCCCTGAAGGCAATTTGAAGCAGGTTAGCAGAACTGTAGAGTCAAGACTGTCTGGGTTTAAGTCTCACATGTTAGCCACACAGAATGTCCTGGGCAGAATATTTAACCTTTTTCTGCTTGCTTCTTCCTCTGTAAAATGAGAGTAATAGTGATTTCAAAGTCTTATTTAAGGGCTAAATAAAATAGCACCTGGAACATAGGTAATGCTCACTAGTTGTTAGCTACTACTAAAACCTAGGCCTGCACTGTCCAACTATAGTAGCCACTAGACTATGTGGCTATTTAAATTATTAAAATTTTAAAAAATTTCTCAGTCATATTTCAAGTGCCCAGTAGCCATATGTGGCTCATGGCTGGCAGATTGGGCACCGCTGTTATAAAGATTTCCACATCCCAGAAATTTCTCCTGGACAGCACTCCCAGTTCTCTGTCCTTAAAATTCTCCTAAATTGATGAGTAGAAGAAAGCCATCTCATAAAGGACATCAGTTCACAGGCTTCAGATGGTCACTTCTCTTTACAAAGGGCACTGCAGTTTACCAGAGGGAAGGACAGGGAAGCCCTCCATGCTCGCCGACCAGGTGTCCGAGTGCAGCACACTTTCTTGGCCAACTGTGGAGGCACTGCGAGTTGGAATGATGGGAGTTCTGAGTTGCATAGATGTCTAACGGCTTAAGGGTTTTCTTCGCAGTCTGGATTAAAGGATCTCTGCCACCTGTTACAAGGGGAAAGACAAAGCATGCATGGTTTGTGCCGTACCCCAGGTAACTTCAGAACACAGTCTGTGGTTTAGTGTTGTTGAGCCTTCTTAATTTAAGGCTGACTTGATTGATCATAAAAGCCAATTAAATTACAGTTCTCACCATTGTTTGGTTGTGGTCATTACTTTGCAGCCTTCAGTCCAATTGACCAATGCAATGTGGAAGGAATCAAAACAGAGCAAAGAAATGAATACAGGAAGATAGTGTTTGTGAGGGTATCACAAGAGGAATTTTTCCTTTCTTCTCTCACCAGATGTTGAGATTAAATTAGATGAAGAAGGATTTGTATTGCCATGCACAGTTAATGAAGATGTCCATAAAAGGTACAGAAAAATGTTGTGTTTTTCACATTACAAGTCTTACTAAGGCTAATAAGCAGTGGTATCTTTTTCTTAAGAAGGTGAAAAAAATAGATACGATTCTAGAAATTAAAATACTACTTTTCAGAATGTCATTTTTGGAAATTCCTTGTAATATTTTATAAATGTTAATATTAATAAGATCAAATTCACGAGGTATTTGAAAATAATGTTTGCACATAGTAGTAGCCAAATCCCAAATAAACTGGCAACTAAAATATATAGTAAATATTTTGGATTATTTTAAAAATTAAGTTTCTTTATTCTTTTTGATTTTTCAGGATAGCACTGTGTATTGATGGTCCACAAAGATTTTGCTCTAATAGCAAACACTTACTGGGAAAAGAAGCTATTAAACAAAGACACCTACAGTTACTCGGTTATCAAGTTGTTCAGGTACGATTTCACCTATTTTTTTTCTAAAAGGAAATCCTAATTAAAATTTGTTTTTTCCAGGTGAATGTTAAAAAGTAAACGGGCTGGGTGCCGTGGCTCATGCTTGTAATCCCAGCACTTTGGGTGGCCGAGTTGGACAGATCACGAGGTCAAGAGATTGAGACCATTCTGGCCAACATGGTGAAACCCTGCCTCTACTAACAATACAAAAATTAACTGGGCGTAGTGGCATGCACCTGTAGTCCCAGCTACTCGAGAGGCAGAGGCAGGAGAATCGCTTGAACCTGAGAGGCGGAGGTTGCAGTAAGGCGAGATTGTGCCACTGCACTCTAGCCTGGCGACAGAGTGTGAGACTCATCTCAAAAAAAAAGTAAACTGAGGCATAATAACATCTTGAAAAATTTTATGAAACAGCAGTTAATGAATTGGAGAGCACAGAAATGGCTTGCAACCACATGAGAGAGGCTTTTATAGGAAGAACACAAGGACCCAAAGAATAGACTCGATTGGTTACAGTTATGTATTCTGGTTGCCTTGTTTGAATTATTCTGTGAACAGTTTGTAGTTATATAATTATGAGTTTGTGAGATGCTTCTGATTGGTTGAGCATAAGTTCTGTTTTTCTCTAGTAGAAGCTTTTACAACAAATATCCCAAAGTAAATTGTGCTTAACATTTGCTCTTTAAGCAATGTGAAGCTTATTTCCAAGGCCTTACTGGCTTGGTCTGCTCAGAAATTTTCAGGCACAGGCTCCATTTTAATTTACGTTAACAGTGGACCACCAATCTTAGGTCTAGTTTAAATAGCAGCGTTGTTAATTCGGCTTAAATCTCTTGTCTTACACTTTGAAATACAGCATTTTCAGAGCTTTGATTTGTCAAAAGTGGGGCATACCTATACTCATTATAAGCTATGCTTATCTCTGCTTTTAGAATTACTCAATTGTTGGAATATGTGTTCTGTTTTAATTTTGCCTTGATTTAATAAATAATAATGGACAAGATAATCCATTATAATGAGGAGCTTCACCAACGCTTCCTATTTATGACCTTTTCAGTGTTTTCACTGTAGGTAATATAATAAGGTCTTATGTGAGGGCTCAACAGTGCATGTGAACGAGAGCTGCCCTAATTCTCTAAGCTGTCTATACTAGGCAGCACTCTGATTTCTTATCTGCCAACTGTGTTCTCCATCTTGCACCTCCCCAGCTGAGTATTCCTAAAACGAATCATGCCAGTGTGTGCTCAGAAGCCTTCATTGTTTCTTTACTGCTAACAGAATAAAGTAAAAACTTCTCTACATTTTAACATTCAAAATCCTCCGTGGTCAGCCTGCAGCCAGGCCTCTGACACATGGACACTAGCCGGCCTCTCTGCTCCCAGCTGAGCAGCTTTCTTCTTTGAGCCTCCTGCTCTCTCTCTGCCCCTGCTGCATCCTCCAGCTCTCTGAATACCTTCTCTCCAGCAGTTCGTCAGCATCCCCCTCATCTAGTGAAATGCCCACTCCCTGTCAGCACTAGATCACCAACCTACAGCTTGTTTTTCATATTTATCATGTAATTTAACTTGCCACCTCAGTTGTAAGCTCCTGCAGAACCAGGGATCATGTTTAATTCTTATTTACATATTCTACATATTAATTCAGCAGATATTTACCAAGCCCCTTCTCAGTGCCAGGCACTGTTCTAGACACTGGGGATACAGGATGAAGAAGCTGGTTGGGAAATTTGCCTTCCAGGAGCTTACATTCTGCTGTGGGGAAGCCTGTAGGAAACAAGCAAGGTAATCAACAGCCAGAGTAACCTCAGATTTGAAAGATCTTAACCAGTTTACTTTTCTACCTTTACAGATGCCCTATCATGAGATTGAGATGCTAACAAGACTCGAATTGGTGGAATATTTACAAAGAAAACTGTTTTCTCAAAACACTGTTCATTGGTGACAAGAAGGAATACTGGCTTCAGAACTCCAACAGTGAAAGAATTTGCATTTTTGTGGAACTGAATATTAAAAAAAGAATATAATGTGAATTAGCCACTTTGCAGAATATGTTCTAGACTGGTGATCTGGAAGGGTCTGTGGTTTTCCTTATACCATGTGTATATTTATTGTGGTAAAATTTTAATTTTAATTTAATACCAGTGTCATAGATACTTTTTATACATCAAACAGTTGATCATGTGCGATAAAGAATTCAGTGAATAAATGTTATTTTAAAAAAATGTTTTGTCATGGTTACCTGCTAAATGAAAATAGTTTGCTCTTTAGAGACCTTTTATTTTCCAGCAGACGGAATGAAGAAATTTGGTCTCTTTGTATTCCGTGAGTGGAAGTGAGATGTACCGTAAGGAAAGGGAGCAATGAAAAACAGAGTACGGTGCTTTGGATATAAATACTGTGGAATTACACGGAAACAGTCCTTTAGTTAATACGATATGTTAATGTGGGAACTTTTTTTAATCAACATAGAAAAGTGGAAAACCAATCTAGGTAGGCTTTTTGGGGAGGTGTTTGATTGTAGGAAGGATCTTCTAAATTTTAGATCAAGAATGAATTAAACTGTAGTTCGTTGCAGAGGCTTCATTGCCTGCTTACAGTCAGGTTACAGTTTCAGGGGAGAAGAGGACAATGAGGCCGACTGGAGTCGCAGAGCTCTGGGGTTGGACGCTCAGGCTTCACCACCAAGTAGTGCTGTGACCTTGGACCGGGCAGCTGCTGTGTAGTGTTCACCGACTGTGCTGAGCGCATGCTGAGCACTTCAGCATGATGCTTGTGTGGCTCTCACATGCCTTCTAATTTAAGTACTGTTCCTATTTTACAGAGTAGTGGCCAGCTCAGAGAGGGTGGATGCTCTACCTGATCATTCATCATGAGTGATGAATGCCAGATTTGAATCTGTCCCTAAGAAGCAATAAAACAGTGCTAAAAATTTAGGTTCCGGAATCCTACAGCTTGGGTTTGAGTTTCAGCTTCATCGCCTGCTGTGACGTTGAGCTTCAGTTTCCTGAGAGCTACTCTTAACATTAGAATGGAATTTCTGTCACGGCCCTATGGCTTCTGCAGCAAGGCACAAACTGGGTGTTTTAAAACAACAGAGATTTACTCTCTCACATTGCTGGAGGCTGAAATCACTGACCCAAAATCAAGGTGTCAGTACGGTCATGCTCCCCATGAAACCCCGAGGGGAGAGCCTTTCTTGCTTCTTCCAGCGTCTGGTGGCGACAGACATTCCTTAGTTTGTGGTAACATAACTTAACCGTCTTCCACCTTCACGTGCCGTCTTCCCTTTGTGTGTGTGTGTGTGACCCTGTGTCTTCACGTGGCCATTAATGTGCACGTGTCTCTGTCTTCACATGGTGTTCTGGTTTGGCTGTGTCCAAATTTCCCGTGTACAGGGATGCCAGCCATATTGGATGAAGGCTTACTCTAGTGGCCTTATCTTGATTACATCTCTAAGGTCTCTATGTCCAAATAAGGTGACGTTCTCACATACTGAGTCAGGACTGCCGTGTCTTTTTTGAAGGAGGGGCAAGGGACACAATCATGTTGAACCTGTAACATGTTGAGATGAGAATTATATAAGACATTAAGCAAAGTGCCGTTAGCTAGTACTAGTCCATGTCCACCCCATCATACTTCTTACTTCACTTTAGCTTTGGGGGCCTATTTACATATAATAGAAAATGGAGACTAGATGAGCTAAGATCACTTTTTGTCTCCAATGACAAAGCTTGACACTTGAACGAGAGATAGGTAGGTAGGTTCTGCTATATCCATACACCTAGGTGACCTTGCCACTCATTTGGGACCTGGCTTGGAAGGATTGTTACACCTCTCTGAAAGTAGGTCATTAGCTGATTGACACTTTTTCACAGCTGTTGGATGACTTAAAACAGGTGTTCCTGACACTGAGCCTAAGGTCTGTTCCAGATCACATCAGGCCTCAGAAACCCTTTCACACCTCCTTGCAGCTAGTCTCCATTCTAGTGTCGTCTTCTGCCTTTTGTGAACTCAGATTCACTCCCTGGCCTCCCTGGCCTCTGGTCCACCCTCACTGTGCTGCACACTGTCCCCATGACTCAGCTACTTCCTGGTGTGAAACTCATCCGAGAAATGTGGTGTGAGGTTAAAAGCATACAGTTTAAAGAGCAGAGAGGGACTTAACCAGCTTAGCCACATGAAGAGGTAATGACAGTCTGTTATAAATGCTATGAAGAAAAATACAGCCCGAACATTTCTTCACATGCGCTGTTGACCTAAGCCCATCTCGTCCATTGCAACCCCTTTCCTGCTCACAATCAGAGGCTCTTCCTTCTGCAGTTCTCTCACTTGCAGCCTCTGCTGAGCCTGTCTCATTTGACTCTCCCCAACCCTCTTCACGTATGCATTCAGCAGACACTCACAGCTCCGATCATGCTGGGCACACTCAATACTCCAGCTCCAGGGCCAAGTAGGAAAGAGTCCCGGCCCTGGGGGGCCTTGAAATGGGTGAGATTAACAGATTCGTGAGCAGGCAATGGGAATGGTGAGGCCTCTGGCACCCCTGACTCACAGACAAGGCTCCGGGAAAGCAAAGACTGCGAGCCCACCTGGGCAGTGAGAGCCTCAGAGTGATTTGTAAGCTGAGTTTTAGAAGGAGGAGAAGAGAGTCTGCGGGTGCAACTGCCATGGCTGGAACACCCAGTGCAAAGCATACAGGGTTGGCTGGGGAGGGAGGCTAGATCTGCCTCTGGCCCCGTTCAAATTTTAATCCTAATAAAGTACATGAAAATAGTTTAGGATAATAGATAGATATAAGGTTGCCGGTTTCACTAACGAATAAATTTTTTTTGACAAGCTTTGTCAAATCATAAAGCCAAGTCCTTTTAAACTGAATTCTCATGCTGACGAATTTGCATGTGTATACCCGTACAAGCAAAAGCGATGTGAATATTTCATTGCAATTACACATCCAATATGATGGATCTTGCAACTATATGTTTGACAGTATTTTTAATAATTGCATAAACTTGCTATATTTGTTTTCAAAAGTAAAGCAAAGCAAGAAAAACGAGTGAAAAATTGTTTTACTTGCTAGCATGTCTTGCAGCAACAGTGATATTCTTTGGACCTGTCAATAGGGGGCAGCAAAGTTCAGGACTTTGCGCTGCTGGGGTTGACACTAGAGGATCTCTGGAGGAAGAAGAGGATCCTCTTTGTGTGTAGATGGCAGGCAGGAGCTGTGGAAGAGCATGCTGACAGTTCTGCCTCAACGAAACAGCCAGTCTTCTTTACCTTTCCTTACCTTCCTCTAGGTAACGAGTGTGCTTCTCTTGGGTACATGTGGACACTTACTATTTTTACATGGAAGAAAATACAGGAAGGAGCAAAATTCTCAATTTGATAGAATTCTGGGGAAGCAGGGAAGTAGTCAGTTCCTTCTAACAAAGGTATACCTACTAGAAGATGTTGTGTGCAAATCCAGAGAGGAATCTTGGCTCAGTGAGGAAGTAGGCAAACTATCCCCTTAGGGCTGAGATCTCCTAAACTGGGACTATACCCAGCTCCATTACTTGGTGTGGATCGTGACATGAGATACATCTTGTAAGCTGTTTAGCCCAGTTCCTGGAAAATAGTAAACAGTGAACATGAAGTGCAATTATTGTTATTGGTACATGCGTATTCATTCATTCTCTATCACACAGCTCATGGTGAGAGCTCATGTAAGGCACAGTCTATAAGAAGGAACATGGCTGGGTTGTTGATCAGGACTTCCAGCAGTGCCACTGTGAGTCTTTGACAGCTGCTTTTGTTAATTATCAAGGATATAGTGCTAAGAAACTTTGTTCGCTAAAGCCTTTGTCGTTTGAAATCAGGTCGATAAAAATGGAACATCAAACTACAGTCTATATGAACTGAACCACCTGGCCCAATCTGACCAATGGAGAAGTAGCTTCAATATCCCCCTCAATCGCAGAGCTCTGGATGTGGGAATTTTGCAACAGCATTCTACATGTATCTTCCCTTTGAGGGACCTGAATCAGCTTCTTAGGCCAAGCTTACTGCTAACTCTTTGGCACGCAAACTGGCTGTGCTTGAGTCTCTCCAGCCCAGCTTCACTAAATTTTACTGAAATTCACCCCTCCCCATAACAGCCCTGTCTGGTCCTGTGTTTAGCTCCCTGTCTCTTGGCTCCTGGGTTGTGCAGTCTCCCTTGCTGCACCAGTCAGGAAACCTGACTTCATGTTGATGTTCTCCCCCTGCTGGGCTCCATCAAAAGAAATTTTGCCTTCATCCAGTACTTGCAATCCCATCTAAGAAAAAAGCACACGTCTCCCTCTCACTCCCACAGTCTCCGATACAGAGTGCTCACAGTGTGTGGGCTAAGCTGATATTTTGGGTTCTAATGTTTACAAGAAACAATCTCTTTTAATAACCCTACTGTTTTGCTTGCATAACAGGAAATTTTGAACACACATAAGAATTGAAAGAAAAGTATAAGAACTGAAAGAAAAGCTGGTTCAGTGGCTCATGCCTATATTCCCAGTGCTTTGGCGGGCCAAGGCAGGAGGATTACTTGAGGCCAGGAGCTAAGATCACGCCACTGCTCTCCAGCCTGAGCAACAGAGCAAAACCCCATCTCATAAAAGAAAAAAGCATAATAAGTTCACAATTCCCCCTATTTAGCATGAACGATTACCATGATTTTCCAATCATGTTTCATCTAGCCTATAACTTTTTCTTTTTTTTTTTACTGAAATGTTTCTAGAGAAATCCAATCTATCATATGATTTTACCCTAAATACTTCAGTATTCATCTATAACTGATAAGCATTTTTTCTTTTTTTAGCTAATCATTCAGCCATTGTTACAAATAACAAAATTAATAATTATTCCCTGTCATCATTTAATGTCTAGTCTATATTCTAAATTTCCTGTACTGTCTAAAAAATAGTTTTTAACTGTTGATGTTTTTGAATCAGGATCCAAAGTCCACATATGACTTTTAGAGATTCTACCACTAAATTTAGTCTCTTATCTCTATAACTGCCACTCTTTCTCACCTGGTTTTCATGCCATTCAGTTACTGGTGAAATTAAATCAATTGCCCCTGTAGAATGTCCCACCAACACATTTGGTGTTGTCTAACTTGTTTCTCCATCTATCTGCTGTATTTCCCATTAAACCAAAGGGCAGATCCAGAGACTTGCTTCAATTCAGCTTGAATGACTTGGGAATGATGCTTGAG